GCAGCAGCGGGGGCGCCGCGAGCACCTTGGCCAAGAGCCTGCCAGACATGCCTTGGCGAGGCGTGGAGATCCCCGCCGTGGCGAGCCTCGTCGTCTCGGGAGGGCCGTGGAGCATCAGCGAGGCCGCATGCCCAGGGGATGGATGGCCGGGGGGCCTGCGGATCCTGGTGCACCGGTGCACTCCCGAGTCCGCAAGCCCACCCTAGAGGAGCAGAGAGGGACCAAAAGTTTTAAAGATGCCGAGAGGCAAAAGGGGGGGACCGAGGGCGCAGGATCCCAGCACCGGCCCAGCCCCGCGGGCGTCAGACGGCCTGCCCGGCACGGAGTGCGCGCCGGGTCCCGCGCGTGGGCGCCCGCGTGCCGTCCTGGGAGTCGAGGGTCGCCCCCGTGCGGGCACGGCGCTGGATGTCTGCGCACACGCCAGCGCTGGCCTTGGCGGTGGCAGCGGCTCGCCGACGGTGGGGAGACTGACGCCCGCAAGGCTCGCCATTCCCTGCGGGGCTCGATGAGAAGGATTCGTGGCGTGTGATGCAGGGTGCGTGCTTAGCCCTCTGCTTGAGCAAGCACTTGAGCCAGAATGGGCCATATCGGGGCCCTCTCGGGGCGGTCTTGGGAGCATCTTGGGCCGTCTTGGACGCTGTTCAGACCAAAGAAGCGAATGCCGTAAAGATGCGCGCTTACCCTGAGAGAATGGGACGACTTCTACCCTGTGGTGGTCCTTTTGGGAACCTTTGGGGGCGTCTTGAGAGCCCCCAAATTCCACACGGGCGTTTGGCTCCTGGGGCCCTTGGCTGAATGAGCTACACTATCCTCTCAGAGAGAGTGCGATACACTATCCCGATCCGCGATTTTCCATATCACGGCACGGAGCTCCAAAGGCCCCCAAGAGGTCTCAAGGAAACCTCAAAGAGGCCCCCATACCCTAAGAGAATCCCAAGAGGCCTCCCCCGCCTCCTCCCGCTCCTCCCTCGCCTCCTCCCGCTCCTCCTCCTCCTCCTCCTCCTCCTCCTCCTCCTCCTCCTCCTCCTCCTCCTCCTCCTCCTCCTCCTCCTCTCCTCCTCCTCCTCCTCCTCCTCCTCCTCCTCCTCCTCCTCCTCCTCCTCCTCTTCTTATTATTAATATTTTCCATATTAGTATTCTTATTACGATCCTTAAGATCATTATTAGTATTATTATTATTCGTCTTACTATTACTTTTCTTATTATTAATGTTCTTCTTCCTCTTCCTCTTCTTCTTCCTCCATCCTCTCCTCCTCCTCCTCTCTCCTCCTCCTCCTCCTCACCTCCTCCCTCCCTCCCTCCCCCCCTCCCTCACCCCCTCCCTCCCTTCCTCCTCCCTCCCCCCTTCCTCCCGTTCCTCCCCGACTACATCCCTCCTCCCTCCCTCCTCCTCTACTCGCCTCCTTCCCTGCTCCCGTCCTTCCCTCATCCATCCTCCTCTGCTCCCTCCTTCCTTCTCTCTCACTCCCTTCGTCCCCCCTCCTTCCTCCCTCCTCCTCCAACCTCTCCTACCTCCTCCCCCTCCCTCCATACTCCATCCTCCATCCTCCTCCTCCTCCTCCCTCCTCCTCCCTCCTCACCTCCCTCCTCTCTCCTCTCCTCACGCCTCTCTCTCCTCACGCCTCCAGCCTCCGCCTCCCTCACTCCCTCCTCCTCAGCTCCCTCCCTCCTCCTCCTTTCCTCCTCCTCCTCCTCCTCCTCCTCCTCCTCCTCCTCCTCCTCCTCCTCCTCCTCGCTCTCCTCCTCCTCTCCTCCTCCTCCTCCTCCTCCTCCTCCTCCTCCTCCTCCTCCTCCTCCTCCTCCTCCTCCTCTTGGGGAGGGACCGCCGAAAAGATTGGCCCGGGATGAGGAGCCGCAGTCGTCGGGCGGCGGCGTCCGGGGCGACGTGCTGTGCCGTGCAGGCGGGATCAGCGCGTCGCGCTCCGCTCCGCGGGGCGGGAGGCTCGGGAAGGCTCAGGACTTTGTCGCTTTGGGACTGGGACGTGGGTTGTTGGGCCGATTCTCCACCACCACTACCATAGGGAGGAGAGGGAGGAGGAGGAGGAGGAGGAGGAGGAGGAGGAGGAGGAGGAGGAGGAGGACATCCCCATCCTCCATTCTCCCCTGTCTACCCATGGTAGTGGTAGTGGAAAATGGGCCCATCAAGGATAGCGTGTCGCGCCGAAGCGTGGTGGGCCAGAACTGGCGGAGCGACACGCTATTCCCCCCCCCCCCCCAAAAAAAAAAACGACCGTGGCAGCCCCGGGGAAGCCCCCTGGGGGCCCAGGACCCGTTTCCCACACGACCCCTTGTCCTTCATCTTCCGACATCTTCCCACTGTGCGCATGATGACCTATGCCGCTCCCAAGGGGCACTTCAACATGTACTCCGTGACACAGCCAGTCTGGATCGCTTCACGCATCCAGTGCGTCTTCGAAGGATGGTCGCGCGGTGGATTAGAGCAAAAACCACGCCGATTCCAAAAGGGCTTCTCAGAGGGCAGGTGGCCATCTGAGTACTGCCCTCGCCCCACCACCGCCCGTAGCGCCGCGGGCCTGGGACCCGCCTGGCATTTTTCGCTGGGCCTCGGCAGACCGAGGCGCGCTGCTGCCGAGCGCGTGGGTCGCTGCACGGAGGCGGACGGACCGTGGCGCGCCTCAGGCGGAGCCGGAGGGTTCGGCCCCGGGGGGCGGCGCGCGGGAGCCGCAGCCGCCAACAGCGTGCGGGGGGCAAGTGAGGGGGGGACAAGCGAGGGGGGGACAAGGGAGGGGGACGGAGGGCGACAACTGAGGCGGTTTGAGGGGAATCCCAGAATCCATCGCCTCATCATCATCATCATCATCATCATCATCATCATCATCATCATCATCATCATCATCATCATCATCATCATCATCATCATCATCATCATCATCATCATCATCATCATCATCATCATCATCATCATCATCATCATCATCATCATCATCATCATCATCATCATCATCATCATCATCATCATCATCAGCATCATCATCATCATCATCATCATCATCATCATCATCATCATCATCATCATCATCATCATCATCATCATCATCATCATCATCATCATCATTACCATCACCATCATCATCATCGTCCCCCAGGAAAGGAGAGGACGAGAAGAAGCATCGTCATCATCATGATCATCAGCAGCACCATCGTCATCAGCATCACCATCAGCAGCACCATCATCGTCATCATCAGCATGATCAGCATCAGCATCAGCATCAGCATCATCATCATCATCATCATCATCATCATCATCATCATCATCATCATCATCATCATCATCATCATCATCAGCACCATCATCGTCAGCACCATCATCACAAGTGACAAGTGCGAGGGGGACACAAGGTGGACGGGGGTCGTCCGTCGCTCTTCGGCGAGTTGCCCCGGGTGTTATATCCGCGCATGTGCCCCACGCGCGCGCACCAGCACGACGTATTTGCCCCTTCGGACCTACGCCGTCGGCAAGCTCGGGGTACTTCTGGGGGGGGGGAGGCGGGGGGCGGCAGGCGGGCCCGGCGGGCCCGGGAACCCAGGCTATCGCCAGACCCATGGAAAAGCAGCCTCGTGGATGGCGGCCACTGTGGTAAAGGCCTCCTCGATGGGGCCGGAGCAGGTGTGGTCGAAGGATCGCGCCGCATTGCCGATGCATTGGCGATGTATCGGCGATGCATCTTGTTTTTCGTTTCAGTCTCGCTGTCGTCGTTCAAGGGCGGGGTCGAACACCCCTTCCAGCATCAAGAGCTCGAGGAAAGCACCGGCGATGCGCCGGCAACGTCGGTGATGCACAGACGACGTCGGCGTGGAAAAGCTCGGGCTCCGCTTCGAGTCGCATCGCCGATGCATCGGCGAGGCGGCGCCATCCTCCGACCCCATCTACTCCGACCCCACCTAGGATTAGGTCGGGCAAGTCTCCCTACATGCGGATGTTGGACGAAAAAAATGCTCAAAAATGTTCAAAAATAATCCAAAATCGTCCCCAGACTATTTTTTACTATTTTTCCCCATCTGTAGGGGGTCCTAGCGGATTCATATGGTTAGGTTAAGTTTGCCGCCGATTTTCGCCCCACGCCCCGGTGCCAGGGTGCCCAGGGGTGCCCGGGTGCCCGGGTGCTCGGGTGCCCGGGTGCCCAGGCGTGCCCGGGTGCCCGGGTGCCCAGGTGCCCCGGTGCCCAGGTGCCCTGTAGCCCTAAAGCCCTAGAGCCCTAATAGCCTCGTAGCCTTAATGCCCTAGAGCCTTATAGCCCTATAGCCCGCATGACCCAATAGCCCTAATAGCCCTATACCCCGCATAGCCCAATAGCCCTATAGCCCTAATAGCCCTATAGCCTCATAGCCTTAGAGCCCTAGAGCCTTATAGCCCTATAGTCCTGTAGCCCGATAGCCATATAGCCCTATAGTCCAATTGCCCTAAAGCCCTATAGCCCCATAGCCCTATAGCCTTTTCACAAAAAGCTGATTGGGTTTTTTCTCCGGTATCATGGCAGATTCCTCCTGTAGAGGGGCATGCCCGACTTAAATCAAGGAGGCCTAGATATGGGCGATGAGGGGACGCTGCGGGTCACCCTGCGCCTCTCTCTGGGAGCCCCGAGGCCAGCGGAGAAGACGGGCATAGATGGCTGCGTGGAGGGGGCGGGCGACGAGGGAGAAGGGGAACAAGAGAGGGGGGGCGGCGGAAACGGGCAGGGGCGACCATGCTTTGCACGGCGCACGGCGCTTGGGGGGGAAGGTGGAGAGACGGGAAGGGGAGCGCGAGAAGGGGGGCGCGCTACAAAACTGACAGCAAGGATGCGCGATGAGGATGGAAGCCCGTTGGACGCCCGTGTCGAAGCTTTTCGCGCGGGGCTGGCCATCGAAAGTGGCTAAGGATGGAGTGAGGAGGAAAGGGTGCAAGGGTACCCTTGGGAAGGTTACGCATCGTTATCATCGGTTTCGACTGTAGTCACGTTTGGGCGCACTCGCGCTGCACTGCCAGGTCCCCGCCCCGCCTCGGTAGTCGCCAGCGTGTGGTCGTCGCCAGCGGAGACGAGCTGCACGCACGCCTGGCCCAGTTGTCCTCCACAGGGGCTGCCGCTTCTACCACGTGAAGGCCGCAAGCCCCGAAGCCGTCTCCGGCCCCCAGGAAAGCTGCCCCCCCGACAGGAGGAACGGTGTCCCTCTTCGTCGCGCGCGCGCGATACCGGTGGTGCGTCTCCGCGGGCACTTGCCCGCAGGCTGGCCCAGCTCAAATCATGCAGCACCACAGCCCCCCAGTGCCAGTGCTGGCTAGCGGCCAGCTCAGCTGGGGACAGTGATGCGCGCAGCTGTGGGGTCCGCTGGAACCTGCGCCACAGTGTCGCGCACCCCTCACTGTGCGTTCGGACGTGGGTCAGGGTCAAGCGCTAACTCCCAAACGCTGAGCACAGAGGCAAGCAGGAACCGAACGAGGGCTCGAAACAGCCGAACGAGCGAGGGTCAGAGAAGACACGCGGCGAGGCACAACGGCCGAGCGAAGAACCGAGGCTCGCACACCCCTCTCGCGCTCCGTGGCCCCACATGGGAGCCCCACCAGAGGCCCCAGGGGCAGCAGCGGCCTCATGCGGTGGCCGCCCAAGTCTCGCGGATCCCTCACACGCCTGTGCCCCCACGGGGAGCTCCACCGAGGAGGCCCGGGTGGCAGCGGCCGCAGGCGGCACCTGCCACCATTTCGCACACCCACCAGAGAGAGAGGGAGAAAGAGAGAGAGAGGGAGAGACAGAGACAGAGAGAATGAGAGAGAGAGATAATAAAATAGAAATAGATAATAAGAGAGAGAGCGGGCGAAATAACATGTAAATGCGAGAGAGAGAGAGAGAGATGCATTAGGTAGTCAACTAGCCAACTGATTCGCAACAGCACATCAAGCACACGACAACCACGACAACATCGCGTGGGACAACCACAGGACAGCCCCGGGACAGCCACCAAACAACCGCAGAACAACCACAGGGCGATCGCATGATACCCACGGAAACGACGACGTGGCAACTGCACGGAACCACGACGGGGCACTCCCATCGGCACCACTGGCGCGAAGGCGCAAACAAAGCTATCGAGCTTACCCCCTAGCCACGGCCATTCATCGCCTCTCTCCCGCTCGCGCAGCTTCGCCTCGCCCGTATGCACCGACGAGAACCGAACCGAAACCGAATTCCCAGTGGGTTCCACTCCGTTCACACTTTCCACAGCCTCCAGAGGGCATGAAGAGCAGCAACACCAGCAGTCGCAGCGGTACGAGCTGAAGAAGCAGCAGGGCCAGATGTACGAGCTGCAGCATCAGCAGCAGTCGCAGCGGCAGAAAATGGAAGTGGAGAAAGGCAAGAGGGGAGACAACGAGGAGGAGCGACGGCAGCAGCAGGAGCAGGAGGAGGGAGAACGGAGCGACAGAAAAATGAGGAAGCAGACCGAGGGAAGCAGCGGGTGGGCCCCGAGGGCCAAGGGGTCCCTCGATGGGCTCGGGCTCCGCCATGATCCTGCACCTCTAGGGGGAGAACCACCAGCATAAACATATACTTTGACAGTCCGCGCGGATATCTTGGATCCGCGCCGAACCCTCCCTCCGCGTCGGAGGTGCCACCATGTGGGCGCAAATCCAAGAAATTCGCGTGGAGCGCCGAAAGTTCACGCTCATGCTATTTGTCGGCGGCGAGCGAGGGGGGAAGTGAGAAGGGGCGGGCCTTCTCAGAAGGCTTGGAAGTCCACCAGCCTTCTGAGAAGTTTCCCAAGCCTTCTCAGAAGACACGAAAAACTTCTCAGAAGGCGCGAGGGCTTCTGAGAAGCCCCGCCGCCTTCCAAAAGGCCCTTCTCCTTCTCGCTTCCCCCCCTCGCCCGCTGCCGAATTTGCTCTCCTCCTCGAGCCTCGTCTTCGGGAAGCCCAGCTGCCCGTGGGTGTTGTCACCCATGGTGAAGATCTTGCCCTCGTGAAACAAGAAAAAACGGCATCAGCATAAACTCTTGGCGCTCCGCGCGGATTCCTTGGATCTGCGCTGGACCCCCCTCCCTGGCGCGCGAGGCGCGCGCCAGGGGCGGCGCCGGAGGCGCCGCCAGGGGAGGCCCAGCGCGAATCCAAGAAGTTCGCGCGGAGCGCCAAAAGTTTTTTGCTTATGCCGTTTTCCCTTCTTCGACCTCGTCGCTGATCAGCACGCTGTGCCGCGCGCCGGCCGCCACCGTACGGATGCGCACCTCGCTGGTCATGCGCAGCAGCAGGGGGGCCGTCTGCCGCACGTCTGGGCCCTGCCCGAGGGCGCCGCAGGACGAGGTCCCGAAGGTGTAGACCTCGGGTTGCGACATATCCCTCCTCCTCCTCCTCCTCCACCACCTCCTCCTCCTCCGCCTCCTCCTCCTCCCCCCCCAGTCCTCCCCCAGTTCTCCTTGGGGGGCGACATATCTCCATGGCCATAGCGCACGACGCCTCCACGACAACGACGACGACGACGACGACGAGGAGCCGATGGGCAACGCAGGACAACTGCCCGCGGGGAAGCAGCTCTGCTCTCCTCGGCGGGCGCCGAACACAAAAGAAGGGATCAGCGCAGCGCGGATACATCGCACGTGGTGGCGCTACAGTCGAGCCGTATCATAAGGATACGCGATGAGGATGCGAGGGCCTCGGAAGGCCGTCTCGAAGCTTTTCGAGCGGGGCGCGGCCAGTGAAAGCGGCAAAGCGGCCAAGGATGGGCCGAGGAGGCAAGGATGCAAGGGTACCGCCCTTGTCATGCGGGTTAACGGTACCCCCACCAGACATCGGTTCTCCTGAATCGATCCCAGACCCCCTCGAATCATGAGAAAATCGCGGCGGGAAACTCTCGCTTTTGTTCGGCCTCTGGGGGCCCTCACTGGGTCTCGGGACCGTCAAAGACGGCTGGGGAAGAAAAACCAACTGGTCTCGGGGATTGGGTCGAGACCTTTGGAGGTCGAAGCTATGAAAACAACACGACGCAGGGGGTCTGGGTCCGAACCCTACCCCCACAAGCCCTCGATTTTCACGAATCGATGAGAGGCGGGGGCAGGGAGCGCATGTCTCCACGCGTTCGACGAGCTCCCAACCCTGACCCCGCCGCCCATCGAGTTACCCGAATCGTTGATCGGCGAGGGTATAGGTTCGGATTTCGGATTTCGCCGCCGAGACCTGGCCCGAGTTCGTCAGCACCAGCGTGTGCGCCTGCCCTGATGCGGAGGGCGACCCCGCGACCTGGACGGCGTCCTGCTCGCGGATCGCCTTGGTGCGCTGCGGGACGTTCACCTGCGTGACCTCCTTGCGCAGGCCGAGCTCCATGGACCGGTTCGAACCGAAGGACCACATCTGGCCCTTGCTGCCCACCACGAAGGACGCCACGCCGGCCGCCTCCACCTGCACCGGGTTGACGCCCCGGAGCTCGTCGATGGGTATGATTCTTCTGCTCGCCACCTCCAGAGCTACAGCGATGTGTCTACCCTCCTCGTCGTCATCGGCCTTCCCCTCCCCCCTCCTCTTCCCCCTCCTGCTTCTCTTTGGCCTACTTCTCCGCCTCCTCAGGCTTCGACTGCGTGTCCGCTTTCTCCCCCTCATCATGATCATCATCATCATCATCATAATCATCATCATCATCATCATCATCATCATCATCAGCAGCAGCAGCATCAGCAGCAGCATCATCAGCATCAGCATCATCAGCATCATTCTCATCATCTACATCATCATCACCACCACCAACATCATCAGCATCATGATCATTGTCACCATCAGCATCACCGCCACCACCACAATCGGCATCGTCCTGCGCGACCTTTGACTCCCACTCTGCCTCTGCATTCCGTCCGCATCCTTCCCCTCCCCCTACTCTGTCCCGCCGCCTCCTCCTCATCATACTCGTCCTACGCATCCATATCACCATCACAATCGCGCTCATCATCCTTACCCTAATGCCGCCTACTCCTCAACCCCTCGTCATCAACTTGATCATAATCCTGCATACCCTCCTCCTCCTCCTCCTCTTCCTCCTCCTCATCATCATCCTCATCCTCCGCCTCCGCTCCAACGCCATCCCCACCCATCCTCCATCCTCCTCCCTCCACTTAACCTGACTCCTAATTACATGATAAGAGGAGGCTCACAGGACAGGGACAGAATCGGAAAGCTGACTGCTTGTGCACCCCACACCATTCAGATTGTCTGTCTGCTCCTTGTCGAGATCGCCTCACAGTCTCACAACACGTGTCCGAGTGCCCCCGGCATCACATGCACCAGACCTCGGAGGAAAGGACCCACCCGGACCCATCTGTGGCTGGCGCTGGCCCGAAGCGAAACCTGGCCAGAGACGTGCGGCTCGGGAGACCTCCCTCGAGCGAGGCAGGCGAAGGGCCCGCGGGATATAAAACTCTCGAGAATTTTCCCTACACCTGGCGCCCCTGTTTACCCTCCTCGCACTCTGCTCCACGAGTCATCCTCGGCCCGAACCTGGATGCCCAGCTTCCAGGAAACCCCAAGCTCGACCCAGAGCCATGCGAGAGCGGCCGCCCGAAACCTCCAACAGGGTTCTCCACGATCCTCGCTTCTCTCCGGTACTCTCCCGGCGACACGGGTTGACGAAAATCTGAACTCTTCTACCCGATTCGTTTTTCGCTTTCGTCTTCTTAACTATTAGCCACGCCGATGTGTTCTTCGTCGTCGTTTTTCTAGCTAACTAACTTCCCGTGGGCGTCGATCGTCAGTATAATTGAACACACGCTCGCCCTAGCGCCTGAGTGCAATCTGAAGACCCTGAATCCAAACGTAAAAACGTTGACGTCTCACTCTTCCTTCTGCCGCCTCTCGCCGACCATCCCGCCCGCGTGCGCTGGCGGACCCGCCGCAGCCGTACTCCCGCTGGCCTCCAGTGCCTTCTGCCGAGGGCGCGGGTGAGCCGAAGGCGAGACCGTGTCTGGAGCGCCCCCATGACCCCCTCTCGAGGAACAGTCATTGCACCGACCTGGCAAACGTGCTGCAGCGGATTGTGGCGTGGATTTCCGTCAATGCAAAACCCCAGAACGGTGAGCGAAACACGAAGTGAATTCCACGTGCATTTCTTGTAGTCTTCATTCCTGACCAAAAAAAAAACCGCACGGAATTCACTTCGCAATCTGGAACGACATTCTCCAGGACAATCTGGGCCCCTCTTCCGAGCGCGCTGATCTCTTGAATCGGCGCTGGACCCCTCTCCCGAGCGCGCCGCGCGCGCCAGGGGCGGTGCCGCCAAGGGGGCTGCGGCGCCGATCCGAGAAGTCCGAGCGGACCTCCGAAAGCGTACGGTCGGGAACTGTTGCTCGGCATGCCGCCGCGGCGGCCCCTGCGACACGCCATGCCCTGCAAGCGGACAGCGCGCCGCTCCGCTCCGCGGGGGCGGGAGGCTCGGAAAGGCTCGGGGCGTTGGCGCTGGGGGACCGCGACTCGGATGGCCTGCCGCGCCGAAGCGTGGGGTGGGCCAGAACTGGCGGAGCAACACGCCAAGCCAGAGTTCCTAACCGCATGCTCATATGTCATCCTTTGTTTCCCGACTCCCTTGCGTGACACGCCGCCGCGCGCCTGGGCACCCCCCGAGGAGGAGGAGGAGGAGGAGGGGGGGGAGGAGGAGGAGGGGGAGGGGGAGGAGGAGGAGGAGGAGGAGGAGAGAGGAGGAGGAGAGGGAGGAGGAGGAGGAGGAGGAGGAGGAGGAGGAGGAGGAGGAGGAGGAGGAGGAGGAGGAGGAGGGGGGAGGAGGCGGGCGCCCTCGCCAAGGGCACCATGCGGCGCCGGCGCGCGCAGACCCTTAACGGCGCACTGGTAGGTTTGGGCTCGCCAGCTGAGCAACGAGAAGAAACTGGACTTGCGCAAGATTTCATAGCGACATTATGAAGGGGCCCCAGGACACGCAGATGAATACACACAGATTGAAAACATCCTCCTATTTTTCCGTCTTTTCTGGTTTTTTGTCTTCCCCCCCCCCCACTTCCCATATTTGCCCATATGTTCTGGGAATCGACGATTAATTGTGTCTGTGTTTTTTTCCTCCTGACATTACACGGGAAGCCCACGCGGCAATGACGGCGCAATGGGCCCCGTTTCCTTCCGCCGCTCAGCTGAGAGCCAAGGGCATCCACGGCGACAATACCAATGAACACCGACCGAGCCAACAGCGCATCCGAAACCGACCAAGACCGACAGGCCGCAAGCAACCGTGAAGGGGACCAGCGACGACGCAACGACACAGCAACCGACCGAGCCGAGCCGGCCGAACGCAACTGACCGCGAGGCAGCCGAGCCGACCGAACCGCGGCCACCCTTGAGATCCGATCTTCGTCTCTCGAGATCCGAAACGACGACGACGACGACGACGACGACGACGACGACGACGACGACCACGACGACGACGACGACGACGACGACGACGACGACGACGACGACGACGACGACGACCCAAACGGACGGGACGGGCGGGGGCGGATCCTAACCGGCCAGCTGGGCCAGCAGGTCGGGCAGGGGACCCCAACGGGCGGATTGGTCGGGCGGATCGGGTGTGCCAATTGGGTCGGGCGTCGGGGCGTTTCAAGTAGAATTCACTCCATCCTGCTGAACCTTCACGAGGGCGACGACGACGCCGACGCCGACGCCAGCGCCCACGCCCACGCCCATGCCGACGACGACGACGACGACGACGACGACGACGACGACGACGACGACGGCATCGACGACGACGACAACGACCACTACCACCACGACGACGACGACGACGACGAGGGCGACGAAGACGGCAAGGAGGAAGACGACGACGACGACGACGTCCTTCCCCACCTCCACTTCCACTTGAACCTCTACTCCTCGCCCTCCACCTCCTTCCCTTCCTGCTACCATCTCCGGGTTTGTCGAAGCGAATTTGTCGAACCAAATCTGTCGAAATTGGTCTGTCGAACAAGGTCTGTCGAACCGGGTCTGGCGAACCGGGCCTGGCGAACCGGGTCTGGCGAATCGATCCGTGTCGAACCGGTCCCCCTCGTACTGGTCCCTGTCGAACTTTTCTTCCGTCGAAGAAGGCCGCTGGCGAACCAATCCCCGTAGAACCAGTCCTTCGTCGGAACGGTCCTCTAGCATGCAGCCTCCACAGCTTCCACTATCGCCCAGCATCACATGATATCATATGCAAAGGGTAGGGCTGAGGAAACAGTGGGACCGGCCGAGTAATCTATACTTCGCCTTGAATGCATGATCCCTTCGTTCTTGCAACTCCCCCGCGTAGCATCCGCGCCCGAATCAGCGCACGTGCGCTCTTGTGCGGGCCGCTCGGGCCTTCTTGTCTGCAGAAACCCCGAGCTGCCCGTACCTCGCGTCCCCGAAAGAGATCACCACCGCGCCGTACGGCGAGGAGGCGTCCTCGGGCGGGGGGCGCGCGGAGCACCTCCGTCTGCGCTGACCGCGGCATGGGAGACGGACTGTCCCCCTCGATGGCCCGCTCTGGGAGCCCTGACTCCCACACGTTGACATCTCTTGGGGGCACCACCTTTTGCCTCTGCTGGCCTCCGCAGGCGGAGCCGCCCTCGCTTCGCTTCGTGCGGGCCCCAAGAATATACGCCGCCACGTCGATTCCTCCTCCCTCCTCTGCCCTTTTCTGCCTCTCCTCTTTCCTGGGAGAGGGAGGGGGGGAAGGGAGGTGGTGGTGGTGTAGATGTTTGGGCCCCGTACTTGGCCAGCTTCCGCCGGCGTCCCGCCGCCTTCCGCCGAAGAAGAGTGAATCTCTCGACTCCGGGATGCCGCGGCCCTTTTGGAGCAGCCTTCGCCCAAGACGAGCTTTGGGGGGGGGGGGGGCAGCGAATCAGCTGCACGCAGCCGGTTTTCCCAGAGCCTCCCATCGCGGGAGGCGACCCCGTGTCGAGGAAAGTGCCCCGCAGCGAAGCCGAAACGGACGCGGGCCATTTCGCGACCCCTGCTTTCCCGCCACAGTCGGGGTTCCTTGGAGAGGACACGCGAGAGGGCACGAGATCCTTCTGGGGGCCACAGTGCCATAGGAATGTAGAAGGCATGGGTCGCGAAACACAGGACACACGGACCGTCCGTGACGGACGCAAAAGTAGCCTTGATTTGGCCCGGTCGACCTACGAGTCCGCCTCGCTTGTACCCCCCCCCCTGTCGTCCGAGCCGAGACCTCTTCAGAGGCAGGACAGGCCCCCGGGAGAGCAGCACAGCCGTCGTGGCGCGAGAGCCCCGCGCGGGGCCCGGAGGAAGGGGGGCCACCTGCGGGGGACAAGCGGGGGCCAGTGACAGTAAGCGGCGCTGGGGGGAGAGCATGCACGACACCACTCGCTTGGCGACACCGGCGGAGCTCCTCTTCCTCTTCCTCCACCTCCTCCTCCTCCTCCTCCTTCTCCTCCTCCTCCTCCTCCTCCTCCTCCTCCTCCTCCTCCTCCTCCTCCTCCTCCTCCTCCTCCTATTCCTTGTCCTTATGAACAACTCCTCCCTGTCGCATCCCGAGGCCAGGTCGGAAGGGCAGACTGGGCGTGTCGTCGCCGGAGACTTACTTACCAGAGCCTTAGACCCAAAACCCGGCAGCAGCTTCACACATGGAAGGCCGGTGACTTTCAAAATGTGGCTCTCGCCATCGTTTTCTGATTCATTGTTTTGCCGATCAGCGCAGCCCCCCAACCCCTCCCCCCCCCCCACTGGAGTAGATCTTGGCTGTTTTTTGGCGCCTGTTTCGAGCAGGTGGAGTCTCTCCCATGGGGCGCACTGTTGCAAACAGACGCATTGAGCAGAGGTCCGGGGCCAGACACCCCCCTTCCACCCCCAATTTCCGCCCCATGTCGAAACGCCGAATAAAAAAACGCGCGCTGCGCACATTTGTTTCCAACATGTGCAAGAGTTTCACGGAGGGGGGCGGGTCGTTTTCAAAGTGTGGCTCTCGCCTTGCTGCCGCACGCGTTCGCTTTAAAAAATCTGCTAAGAGCTTCACGAATTGAGGGCGAGTGGTTTCCAAAATGTGGCTCTCGCATTAGCGCCGCGCACAATCCTTTCAAAAAACTGCAAGAGTTTTAGTGGTTCGGCTAACCTGCCAGAAACGGTGATGTGGAACGATTCAGGGTTGTCACGGCGCAACAGTTACGTTGATTCGCGGTGTTGAAGTCACCGGAGTGGTGTTCTGGCACGATTCAGGATCGTCAAGTCACAACAGTAAGGTTGGCTCGTGGCGTTGAAGTCCTGAGAATGGTGTTTTGGCACGCTTATGGAATCACACGGTTGTCCCCTGACGGGGCACTTCTCTCAGTGAAAATGAACTCTTACAGCGGCCTATGAAGAGGGAGCTTGGAGGGAGGGTGTATTCCAACATCGTTGATGAGTCTTGAGTTTACACTGGTCCTCCTCCTCCTCCTCGTCCTCCTCCTCCTCCTCCTCACGAGATGGCCGGTGGTGGTGCCACCATGACGCCTCGTGTCTGCTGCTGCTGCACCCCGTGGCCGCAGGACGGTAGCCGGCGGCGGCAGGGGTGCACCACCTGCGTAGAGCCTGAACCAACGGCGAACGCTCGGATGCTCAAGGGTCCCATGGCGCATGCACCACCGAGCTCCAAATAGCCACAATAGTGCTCGGACGCTTCCTCCTCCTCCTTGTCCTCCTCCTCCTTGTCCTCCTCCTCCTCCTCCTCCTCCTCCTCCTCCTCCTCCTCCTCCTTCTCCTCCTTATCTTCCTCCTCCTCCTGCTCCTCCTCCTCCTCCTTCTCCTCCTCCTCATACTCCTCCTCTTCCTCCTCCTCGGCAACCATCGTTCCACGCGGGGTCCACATCTGCAGGCCTGCCAGCGACAGCGCAGAGCAGGAGGCCTCGAGAAGCTCAGGAGCACCCTGAATCCGCTGACACGTTCGGACGTTCGCGCGCGCGCTTTCTCTGCTGGCGCCAGCCGCCCCACCAACCCACCCCACACGCCTGCCAGAGGCGGTACCGAAGGCACCGCCGAAGGGGAGCGGGGACACTCAAAAGGTGTGCTTGGTTGAC